TTCCCCCCCCCCCCCCTTTTTTTTTTTTTTTTTTTGAATGCTGTGTATAATTTTCGAGGGGCTGTGTCAATCCCAGGGCAGATGCAGAAAGGCCAGATTTCAAATCTCCGGGTGAGATGTGCAGAATGAGCAGATGTTCTCATCGCTGCCCTGGATCAGGAAGTGAGGCAGGCACCTCGAAAGACTTCTTGCTTTCCCTGCTCTTTAAACTTAGGACGAGCTGTCAGTTTAGTACTTCTGTATGGTAAAATCTTGCATGTTAACCCCCCCAAACTGCTACCTACCATTTATGTGGCTTGTTTCTAACATAACTGAGGATAAGAACGAAACAGTGAGCTCGTTTTCACTTTCTGAGTGCTTAGTTCTCAGCTTTTTTCCTTAAAAAACCTCATGCATTATCACACTGGTGTTATGTCTGGCTTGCAAATGTTTGGGGGAGAGAAGAGTTGAAATCCCGGTTTCTTCTGTCATAGGAGAGGGGGATGAAGAAGCCAACTACTCTGAAAATATTTCTTGTTGTGTTAGGTAACCTCTTCTGAAAGTAGATCAGCTACTTGACAGGTCCTGCCTGCCCTGACAGCATTTTAGCTGTCAGAACACTTTTTTTCCTTCCTCTTTCATTCTTATGACTCTCCTAAGGTATGTTTATTTAGCAACACAGATTAATTTTGCTTATATGTCTCTGCTATAAATGTTAATGTGCTGCATTACTTCAGAGTTTGCTTCCCCCTTTTGACTTCTGCACCCTTTCCACTATTCCTTTCCCCATACATCTTGCATTTAAGTCATCTTGTGAGAATAGGTAGGTCTCTCTTGGGATCTTTCTCCCACTTGGATGCATAACCCCTTCCTTTGTTAAATATTTTATATATATGAACAATCAGTTGTCTTCTGTAAGGCTTTCCCATCTGGAACAGCCAGGCTGTTTCCTAACCATTAAATTAAATTGAAACTCTACTGATTTAATAACTAAGTAGTGATCAAAAATGTATAAACTCCCTCCAGAGCCTGATAAATCCAGAGAATGCAGCTTTTGGTGTGTATATATATATATATATATATATATGTGTGTGTATATATATATATATTCTCTATATATATATATATTCTCTTTCTTCAGTCTCACAGTACGGAGGTGTATCAGTGGTCTTTCTAAATCCTTGTTGCCCTATGCAAAACTAAGTGTGTTATTGTTTTCCTGGCCTGGATTTGGGTCTCATAATTACTCTACTTTCTGATACTTTTCTGGCAGTCTAAAGTGGAAATGATATTCATCATATTCTGCCCTTAACAGCTATTGCTTGAGTACTTCTGCATTTCCTATTATAACTTCCTAGCCACACTTTCGGGGTTTGACTGCCCTTTTAGCCTCTTCTTAGATAGCTGGGGTTGCCTTGTTTCTCCATTCTTCTGTCAGAATTTTGTAGAGCTTGTGTATGTTCCTCTTCTGTCACAAAGCTGTTTCTTAATCAAAACCATCGGTATCATTTCAGATGTTGATCCTTCCGAGGCTGCTGAGGGCCTGTGACAGGCCAGTCACCTTTTTAGTCCTTAGGAAGGCTTTGGTCCTGTGAGCCTGCCATGCTTGCCATTCTTATGGATCCTTGCTGACTTCAGCAGGAGGACTTGATTATTTCAGTTTTAAGTGAAATTGTTTCAACCAGTCTGTTGTAAACTGTAGCTTCCTTCTATATGGACTGATAACTCTATCTCCAACTTAACTCTTAAAAGAAAACTCATCTTGCTAATTAATTTTTATGAGTAGTATAAGGGTCTAACTTGCTGCATGAAACCCTGCTGTTTCTGGAAAAAAAATAAATCTGGTAACTGCTGGAACTTTGCTGTTCCAGCTTGTGGGCAAGGAAGAAGCATGTTGGTGTGCAAGCATATGGCTGTGTCTAATTCGGTTTCCAGGTCACTAAGAATTTTGAGGACAGAAATGAATTCTCTTTTAAATTGCTTGATGTCTTTTTGCTTTAGAGATAAACTTCCCAGACAAGGAGAAAGGGTGAAATTGATGTCCTCAAACTGAATTTTTGCATTAAGTATGCCCTATAAACAGTTATAATTGGCTTTTATGGATTCAGGGGAGTAGCTGATCTGAATCACTCTGGAATTGGATGACTTTTATTTATAGGTTTTTATCTTGTTCTGATTGCCATAGAGCATCTCATGAGCGTTCATTTCAGGGTAGTTCATGCAAAGTGTTGATTATACATTTACAGCCCTCTGGTCACTTGATGACTTGTAAAATTCCCTTAATTGTCCATCCAGGCTTCTGCTGTTTGTTTTGGCCTTTGGTTATGCAGCCACTTTTGAGAAATAAGACTGCAATCTCCCCTTCCATACAGCAGAACAGTTGTCTTCTGACATGCCATGTCAGCAGAAAATGGCAGAAGGCAGGACTGTACTGCAGTACAACATAAAGATGCCATGAGCTGGAGAGGGGCTACTTGGTGCTGGTCAAGGCCGCTGTTTATCTTGTAACACAAAGTAAGATTTCCTTTATTTCCTTCTTTGTGTGTGTGTTTAGGGGTAGTTGAGGGGGGCAGGATCTCCCTCCCTTCCTTCAAAGAAGGTGGTTTTGGGAGGAAGAGGAGGACTTGAGTCAAAGTGAGGGAAGGGCCCTGGAAGTATGCATCTATATTAGAGTGGGTGGGCTCAGTAGTCTCATCATGAACAAAAGCAGTGAAATAAAACCACCGTGTTTACAGGTGCTACTCAGAACTCTGCTAGGGTGATTTGAAAAAATCTAGCCTGTTGCTTTTTCTCTCCATACCCCAGATTCTTTGCCCCTGCTTCCCAGTATCTGTACCGTATTGCCTGTCTTGCAGGACAGTATCTTGTCAAGTGGTGGGGCTTTCCCATCCTTCCCTTATAGCATCTTCTTTGGTGGGAAAAAACTGAAAGCCTGTTTTCTTTGGGTCCTCTCTTGATAAATGTAAGATAGTGAACAGAAAGAAATCTGAGTTAATTTAACTTGCTATATCTTTGTTTTTCTGGTTTAAATTAAAAAAAAAAAAAAAGTTTACTCACCTTTGTTACCCAAAATACAACATTTAAAAGGGAGTAAGTTATTTTGCTTGGGCTGTTAGCATGCATGCATTGTCATTCGAGGCAGTTGTTAATACTGTACTTGTTTACGTACCAGTCTTAAGTTATTTCGCTGCTTGTATCTCAAACCAATGGATGGTCTCTCAATCTCCTGTTGGTGTTCAACTGCAGATGTTCTACGCTTTCTGACAGATATGGAATATCTCTCTTGCTCGCTCTGTAGCAAAGTGTGGGCACAGCAGCCATGCTGTCAGGTCTAGGGACAAGCTGCAAGAAAGAATTCATAGAATCACAGAATCATTCAGGTTGGAAAAGACCCTCGGGATCATCGGGTCCAACCATCAGCCGGACTCTACAAAGTTCTCCCCTACACCACATCCCCCAGCATCTCATCCAAACGACCCTTAAATTCTAGTTAAACTAGAGAAGAGCTAATAAAAGGTGCATGCCTCAAAATCCTTTGTGAGCCTTGTTATCTGAGGCACGGGAAGCTGTTGGGTAACTTCAGCCTAGCATCGAATCTGTGTCATCATGATGGGAGCAGTGGAAAACTGCTCCGATACTCTTTGTAGCTTTCCAAAAGACTTTTGATAATTATCTGTATTGGGAAATAATCTATTGAAACTTGCCCTTTTAAATTATTTTTATGCACAGTTCTACCAAAAAAAAAATAAAATCTGTAATTTCTTTTAAGTGCTGTTTTTCCTTTGTCTGTTACATCTCTCTCCTGAAAGTGAAGAAGCTGGGCAGGCAGTCTGGCCCTGACGGCTCTCTCGCAGTTCACTTGTCTTCCCTACCCTCAGGGAAACAATATGCTTTTATTGAAAAGGAGCGACTGACCCAGAAAGAGAGTATATGCTGCATGTAGTGTTCTAAAATGCACAGTTTAAAAACAAAAAGTTTAAAGCAAGTGAAAACCTAAGCGGTTTCACTCCCCCTCCTTAATCCCAGGAGAACAGCTTGAGCAGGAAGCAGGGTCCTGCACATGTGTTTGGGAGTCGCTGTCATGCTTTGCTTGAGAGCTCCTTGCTCGTGGAACATACAGGAAATATTTTCTCACTTATTTATGGGGAAGCTAAATATAACATTTCTCTACCCCTGGTGCTGCAATTGCTATTAAACAATGTGGTAATTGTGAGTTTACGTAATCATTGATAAATCCAGTCTGTCTCACATAGAACTAATTTTTCTTTTTTCCTTTTTTTTTTTTTTTTTTTTTAATTAGTGAAGATCTTGATAGCTGCTGCTTGTATAGGGTTGCAGAGAGTTGGTTTTTTGGAAGGGACTACAATGTAGCTAGGAGAATCAAAGCT